TGCCATATGGACAAAAATGTTGTCACAAAAATAAGGCCAAAAAATAGTGCCAGGTTAGACTTTTAGTTCAAAAACATATGTATAATCATCCCCATGAACATGAATTTTAATTAGTATTTTGATAGAGAGAAACCAGATATTTTTTTAACCTGCTCTGTTCTTGTTTTCTGTTCCTCTCCCAGTTTTAGCCTCCATTAAACATTCATATACTGTATGTTTTGTGTCTGTATGAGGAAAATGCCTTATCCCTGGATTGGTGGGAACGCAAACATCTTGGTTTTCTGTGGCATACAAAATATCTTCCCAGTGGAGCTCATAAGCAGAAACTTATTGCTGGGAAATCTAGAGCTCTCTCTGAGCTCCGGGTACACCAGGAAGGAAGGAAGCCATATGCCTTTTCCTTTTGTCAATGGAGGCATCTGCACCCATTTGCTTCCCCTGATCTACTCCTCACACCCATCCACATCTCATCTCCCTGGGATGCCTTTTAAAAATGAAACAAGTTTAGTCTATATACATATTACTGTGTGACAGGGCAGTTTTAGAGAAAAATGGGTAAGATTATCACTACAGAAACTTTTAAAAATGGAGCACATAACGTACTGATAAACTTAATAAATGCTCACATTTTACTTATTAGTTTTATTCCACCTACGTCTGAAAAGGATTTGAGATGGCATCACTTGTCAGAAGATACTGTGCTGAATCATCTTCCATTAGCAAAGCTCTTTCCCAACTTAACTAAGGTGCTTCGATTAATGCCCTGCATGTGATAATGAGATGCTGATACAATGAAATGTTTCTATTAGCAATAATTTTGCTGCTTCCCCCCCCTCCCCCAGAGGAATACAGAGGAATCAGATACTTGAATAAAAAATAATACAATGGGATAAAAAAATCTATTAAAAATCAGTCAAATCTTGGTGCAACAGTATTCACCTATTTCATATTCTTTTTTTTTTAAAGATATTTATTTATTTATTTGAGAGAGAGAGTGAGAGCAGGTGGGGGCAGAGGGAGAGAGAGAGAATCTCAAGCAGACTCTGCACTGAGCATGGAGCCCAATGCGGGGCTTGATCCTAGGACCCTGAGATCATGACCTGGTCTGAAAACAAGAGTCAGATGCTTACCCGACTGTGCCACCTAGGCGCCCCCTACCTATTTCATATTCTTTATTAGAATCCTTGAGCTTGCCTCTGAGTATTAGCTGCACTTCATTCTACTCCAAGGACAAGGGTAAAACCTAAGGGTAGCCTTAGGAAAGGTAAATTTTACTGCGCTCTTGGTGTCTCTCAGGAGTTTCTTAGACTTTTATTTTTTGGCAGACACTAACACAGCAATTCCTTTTTTCTTTCTCCTTCCTTTTCTCCCCTGAGGAAACTCTGGGCCCTTCAGCAAGAGTATGACACCTCATAGGCACTTGCTGAGTACACCCTCTTGGTGTTGGCAGTTTTCTCTGGGCTTGTTGTCTAGTCTCTACTCTTCCTCAAAGCCAATGTCACCCTTCCTATAGCCTTTCTAACAACAGCAGGAAATGTGCTATTGGACGCTCAGTGATTTCAAGCCACAAACCGAGACCATGTCTATCCATTCCACTGAGACTGCTGCAAAGATGGCTTTTGCCTTATGTATAAGCTGCCTCGTTTGCGGAAGAGAACAAGTCATTGCTAAATACACCTGCCTACTTTCAGAACTGTAACTCGGGCTTCTATTTTCTGAAAACTTTTTCTAAGTTTTTGTATCAGACTGGAGTGCAGTAGGTTCATTCATTCATTCATTTAATCACTATTTTCAAGCCTTTAATATGAGTTCTAAATTTAAAGAAAGTTAAAGGTTGTTCCTTGCCACAGAGATGTTTGTATGTAGGCAAATATTTCCTGGCTCTTATGTTTTAAGGTCTTCTAGTGGGTCTAGGTTAGTTTAAGGTCTCAAAAAAGTCTTGTGAAAGAAAGAAAAAGAATTAAAAATTCCAAAATTCATTTTCTCTTAGTGTCAACCAACACTATTTCATAATTGCTTTTCTCACAGAGATTTATATTCAAGACTAGTCATAAATTTGAGCTCCAGTGAAAACATCAAAGGTAATTCAGGCTTCCCAGTCCTACTACTCTTCCATATCAGAAATGTAGAGGCAACTGGCAGCCAGAGTAGACTCAGGCAACCGCCTTACCCACCAGCGATTTTCTGGGCATTGTATGAGGTTTTAAAAAAATACTCATGCAGGGTATTAATTTATAAAATCATATGCAATTTCAAAATATTGTAAATAACCTAAATCCCTGCCTATAAAAGACCTATTGAGTAAGTGAAAGTATATCCACGTAATGAAGTGCCATGCAGTTGTAAGAGATAATGAGGAAGATCTCTGGGCACTAATATGGAGACATTTCCAGGATGCGTTGTTAGTGAAAAATTTAAAACCTTCAAAGAGTATATATAGACTCTTTACTTTTCTGTACTTTACTCACAGTATATAGTATGCTACATTTTGCACAAGAAAGAAGGACAAATCAGAATAAATACATATGTGCTTATTTTTACATGAAAAGAAATACAGGAATAAGCCAGAATTAATAAAAATAATTACATATAATATGTGGATGGGAATGACTAGAAGGGATAGGGATGGACGTCTCCCCAGAGTTGCCTTTATATATAGTTTTGACTTAGGACCATGCAAATACTATATATATTTGAAAAATAAAAATTAATCAACAAGGGATGGGAAAATATCTGTGATGTTTGGTACTAACATTGATGGTAAGCTGAATGATAATTGTTGTGGGTACTTTGGACTGAGAGTCTACTAAAGAACAAAGAGGAAATGAAGGGGAGGCCTTTAGAGATTGATACCAACTAAATTGTATCTATTACTGGTACTTTCCCATTAAATTTATTCCTTGATTATTATTTTTCTTTCATTTCTACAACTAACAAGAAGCGCTTCTTCCTCTCTGCTAGTAGCCTTTTTGATGAGACAGGAAAATAAATGAAACTATTAATAGTTTTCTCTATTTTGGCAATAATTTGAGCCAATGATGTGATTTTATATCATGTATTCTCGGGAGAGGGGCATACACAATTTCAGTGCATACTCTTTGCCAATTTCTGAGTCTTTACAATTATTAAAAACATACATTATAGGAAATATTACTTGCCTCCTGAGCCACATTGCTTTTTCTTTTTCTTTCTATTTACTAGAAGAACAATACCAATAGTGTACCATTTTTTACTAATACATAACCATCTCCTTGAAGGTGTAACACGCTTTTGGAGTTAACCTTTCTGGAGGCAAGAAAGTAGTAATAATTGAAATTATTTTAAGAAAATGAAACATGGCTATGATAAGGTTCAATAATTGTTAATTTATTCAACTAATGGGTTTTCCAATGACACAAAATGTTAAGATTTTAAACTTTTCCCTAGCTTCTGCTCTGGATGACTGCTTCAGCATGGTTATATATCTCTTTTATAAAACAAAGGTGTGAAGATATACATTATTTAAAAATTGGTTTGTATTGGGAGCTACTGGGTGGCTCAGTAGGTTAAGCATCCAACTCTTGATTTGGGCTCAGGTCATGATCTCAGGACCATGAGATGGAGCCCAGCGTTGGGCTCTGTGCTGTGCGTGGAGCCTGCTTAAGATTCTCTCTCTCCCTCTCCCTCTGCCTCTACCCCGCCTCTAAAAAATAAATGTTGGTTTGTATTGGACCTGCTTTATGCAATTTTTGGGGTGGGTGGGGAAACCCCACAATTTTGATGATGAGTAAGGTATACCTATATAGAGTCATATTCTCAACTTTTGATCCTGGTGTTGCTGTTCACTTGAGGGAAGCAAAGTGAATCATCAGGTTCACTTTCTTTATTTGTGTAGACTTTGTGGTCAGTTTAATAAAAATTTATTGGCACCTACTTTGTGTGTAGCACTTGAGTAATTCCTTTTACTCAATGACCTTTTACTTAAATAGGCAAAATTTCATAGAATTTCACAGAGTGCAGGCAGTCTAAGAATTACACACACAGCATGGATAGAAAGCCAGAAGACTAGAGCGATGTATAGAGTGAACACCCTGTGTGTTTCTAATGAGAATGAAAGGAATTTGCTAAACCTAAATAGCCTCTGTTTAGTTATAAGTCAGTGATCACGATATTAAAGAAAGTTGTACCATTACACATATGAGTGCTTTTCATCATGCAGTGACATAGTGAAAAAAATAACTAAGTAGAAACGTCAGTTCCCCATATCAAAAGCTAGGAAATATAAGTGCTCCCAGCCAAAGAAGGCAAGATCTGGAATTTTTTTTTTTTAAATGTGGATATATAGAATAAATATGCAACCCTCCTGATAATGTTGGCTGATGAAATGAAATTCACCAACTGTAATTCTGGCGTGGAGAGACACACACACACACACGCACGTGCGTGCGCACACACACACACACATCCTCGGCGTATCCTTAATCATTTGCTATCTTATTTACATTTCATTTGCTAGAGCAAATTCTATCATTTGAACTTTTTAAAAAATGTATTTCAATATTACTTAGGGAAAAATAGGAAATAATGTGATTGGCTTTCAAATAGCTTATTACCATTCAAATACTCTCAAGATAAATTATATTAAAGGGAAAAAAAAAGAAAGAAAGAAACCCTGTTTCAGCTTCCAAAACATTCTAAATGGAGACTCTGCTCTAAGTAATCAAAATTGCTTTAGTTGTGCAGAGCGACATTAAAAGCCTTGTCCACTAATTGAGTGAAGCGGTGCTACGGGAGCAGCCTTGTCCCCTCATTAGATGATCTTGCAGGCACTGTTTGTCATTCTGGGTTGCCGGGCTCAATCTAACAGTACTGCTGGCTCAAATTAGCAGTAATTCATTATGACACAGTATGTCCTTCTGTGAAACAACAATGTGAAGCCCATGGGACATCTGTCTGCCACTAGTTCTTCTTTATCACATTCCTCCCACTTCAATTCAAGTGACCACCTTTGCATGAACCTTCTAACTTCTTGAGCTGCCTGGTGATTGGAGATGCACGTTGACTGAAGCATGGCATCCACTTGCCCTCCGCTACTATTGCAGAGAGAAAGGGGGTGGGTGTCCAGCCACAAGCCAAGTCAGTCTGCACAATGATGCCATGTTCTGAAGGAAGCCAAGTGTGCTCGGGTAGGTGTGAGCGCAAGGACTTCTTTTTGAAGGCAGATAGCTCCCTTTGTGTCAAATCATGGGGGGTATTAATAGAAAATACTGAGAGAGACTGTTCATAAATGTGATATAAATCCAAAGAGAATGAAACTGTTCTGATGATAAGAGTTTGGTCATTCACATTTGGAGGGAAACGTCATGTTTCTATGATGAGCATTGCTGTGTAAAATGTGACTTTTCTACTCATATGAGCAGGTAGAATCCTATCACTAGGGAAAAGTTCCAGCAGTGATGCAGTTGGACACTTCCTCCTGCCAACTCCAAATTGTGTGTTTGTATCAATGAGCTCATCGTGTTGATTCAGATCATTTGTTCCGTCTCCGGAAGAACGACTAAATTTAACTGATAGTGTCTAAACCATGTCTAGATACAGCTTTTCCTCTGAAATCCTTAAATTGTCCATGGATGTAGAAAAGTTTGCATTTACTGATTGTTGACTCTACAGTGTTGGAAGTGGTGGTGCTTAGTCAGTATGAGGTACAGGACAGTTGTGCACCCACTGTTTTCCCAAGGCTGAGCCTAATGTCACTGTAGGACATCTACTGCATGCAATATGGGCCTGGTGGGTTGTTGTTTTTTTTTTTTTTAGATTATTTATTTATTTATTTATTTGAGAGAGAGAGCACAAGAGAGCGGAGTGAAGGGATGAGGGGTAGAGGGAGAAGCAAAATCCCCGCTGAGCAGGGAGCTTGATGTGGCGCTGGATCTGGGGACTCCAGGATCATGACCTGAGCCGAAGGCAGGCGCTTAACTGACTGAGCCACTCAGGTGCCCCCTGGTGGGATTTTAACAGCATTAAAAGCCTGCCTACTTCCAAACCATTTATCGTTTGAAATTCCATAATTAGACTCCTTCCTTTAGATTATATTTTAAAAAAAGAAAAAAAACTTTTCTTGACATAATCTGAATGCTTACACTGGTTAATCCATTACTATTAGTTATTAGTAGTTATTTATTCATTTATCTAATATTTATTTCTATTAACTCTATCCAACACACCCTAACAAAATCCGTCAGTTCAGCAGTAGTGCCCATTACTCCATTTTACAAAATTCTCCCATAAAATATAGAGATATCTGTTTTTACATAGTGGCTCTTAATGTGTATTGACTGAATTCCTGCTTTCTTCACCAAAGCTGCTTCATCCATATTCAGTCTTCACGACTCCAGTGAATAGCAACTCCATCCTGTTTGCTCATTCCAAACACCTGGGAGTCATCCTTTGACTTCTGGCTTTCACTCACATCCATATCCAATTCACTGGCAAATCCTATCTGCAAAAATATATATTCTGAATTTACCATTACATTTTGGCTCAAGATAACACAAACTATTGCCTGGAATATTAAAATAGGCTCTTTAAACCTACCTTCAGTTGATTTATAACATAGCTCTGAAAATAAGTGGGGGCATTTTTAGTTGTCAAAAGGTCTGGGGATAACTACTGGCATTTAGAGATGCTAAATGACCAACCATGGGTTCAATGGTCAGAACAAAGAGGAGTTGCCCACCCAAAATACCAGTAGCAACCCCATTGAGAAATGCTGAGCACGTTAAAAACCTAAGTCACAGAATGTTCCACTTTTGCTCAAACCCGTTCAATGGCTGCTAATTTCTCTGAGAATAAAAGCCAGTATTATTACAATGCCTATAAGGCCTTACACAACCCATCCTTGCCCCTTCCTTACTTATCTGATCTCATTTTCTCTTAATTCTCCTTCATTTACTGCATTACAGCCTCTCCGAAAATACAGTCATACCAGCATGCTATTCCTACCACCTGAATAGTTCTTTCCCCAGTATGCATGTCTTACTCCTTCACCTCCCTACTCAAATGTCTTCTTTCTCAGTTACCCAGTTGCAGAGTCTCCTCTCAGATTCCTACAAACAAGCTGTTTTGTCTCCAAAGTACTGATCACCATCTAACGTATTTTACTGCATTCTTGTCTTTCTTCACTTACCAGAGTATAAGATGAATGAGAGATTTTTGTCTGTTGTTTTGTTTGCTGTAATTATCATCTTGCTTAGATATCTGCCATATAGTAGGTGCTCAATAAGTAGTTTGGCTGAATGAATTTAAGCTTATAAAAACCTTATACATTATATGTTAAAAAAAGAAGAAGATAGTAGGAAGGGAAAAATGAAGAGGGAGAAATTGGAGGGGAGATGAACCATGAGAGACTATGGACTCTGAGAAACAAACTGAGGGTTCTAGAGGGGAGGGGGGTGGGGGGATGGGTTAGCCTGGTGATGGGTATTAAATAGGGCACATATTGAATGGAGCACTGGGTGTTATACGCAAACAATGAATCATGGAACACTACATCAAAAACTAATGATGTAATGTATGGTGATTAACATAACATAATAAAATAAAAAAAAACACCTTAGGCAATTTTCCATTAAAGAAATGAGAATTTAAAAGCCTAGTGGCTCAGTTGGTTGGGTGACTGCCTTCGGCTCAGGTCATGATCCTGGAGTTCCAGGATTGAGTCCCATATCGGGCTCCCTGCTCTGCAGGGAGTCTGTTTCTCCCTCTGACCCTCCCCCCTCTCATGCTCTCTCTCTCTCTCATTCTCTCTCTCAAATAAATATATAAAATCTTAAAAAAAATTAAAGCCTAGAGGAATTTTCACCTGTTCTCATGAATACATTTGTTTATTCATTTACTAAGTATTAAACTCCAATTTAAGTCAGGCAGTGTTCTAGATGCTAGAGGTAAAGCAATGAAGAAAATAGTCATAAGACTAATTTTAGAGATGGTAAGTGCTATGCAGGAAATAAAAGGAAGAAGGGGGTAGTGACAGGTGGTGGGGGGAGGCCTCCAATTCTTGTATTTTTTCCACTGTAACCTGACTAGCTCATTTCCATACTAGTAATAGTTACTTTATTTGATATATTAACAAACACTTAAAATGAAGTGGGGAGTTAATACATAGACAGGTATATTTTGAAGAGGTATATGTGGTCTATTGGAAATAAATGGATTATGATGTCAGGCAGTCTTGGGTTCAATTCCCAGATCTTCCACATGCTGACCATGTAACTATGGACAATTAAGTTCAACTCAGTATCCTCATTCATTAAGTATTAATAATGTACACTTCACAGGTGGTTGTGAAGTAAGGAGCTAGTGTAGATAAGGTATCTAATACATAGTAAAATAAGTCAATAAATATTTTTTTTTAAAGACTTTTGGCTACTACGCAGGAAATGAACCTGGATAGGAACCCCTAGAGGGCTTCTGTGTACTGAAGAGAAAGATTAAATTATTATGAGGTCAGATTATTATGAGGTGCCAACTCAGAACCTTTGGAAAAATCCTTTCTTTCCATCACTTAAATAGCAGCATACAATCTGTATGAAAGGTTTGTTATTCTATTTAATCATCTTTTGGTTATTATAAAAGTTATGTAGTTTATTGATGAAATGTTTAGAAAATGTGGATTAGCAAAAGAAAAAAGTAAGAAATTCCTGTAATTCTAAAATTAACATTGTAACATTTTGGCATTTATCCTTTGAGTCATTTTTTCCTCCTTTGGGTCATTTTTATATTGTGTGTGTGTGCGTGTGTGTCCTTGGTTATATAAACCACAGAACTCTGCCTAGTAAACCAAATTAATATTTTTGAACATTAATATTTTCAAACAAGATCAGTGTTTAGGAACTTTTGGATGCTGGAATCACAGGACTGTGTATGTGGATCTGGGCTCTGCTAATTACTAAGGCTCATTTTCCTGAGCCAGTTAGTAGGGAAATGATCCATAGTTTATTTAACCAATGCCCTATTGTTAGCCATTTGGTCTCATTCCTTTTATATTATATTATATATATATATATATAATATAATATAAAAAAAGAAATAATTATTTCCTCAGGGTATAATCTCAGAAATAAATTTATAGATGAATATGTGTAAGATTGCTGATATGTATGATCCAAATACTTTTTCAAAATATTTGAACCACTTCAACTTTCACTAACCACATATGAAAGCTTGACTTTACCATACCTTTCCAGCATGGGTTTTTATAATAAAAACTTGTGCTAATTTGGTAAAATTCATAATTGGATACTTCCATATGTATGCTAACTTACCATTTGTGGGTCCCGTGAAATGAGAAGTTCTTCAGTATTCCTTGGGGAGTTAGGAAAGACTTCACTTGAGAAGGTAAAATAATTGGGTTGAGTCTTGAGGGAGAGCAGGTAGAGAATGGCACAACATGCTCAAGTTGTCCCGTGCGTAGTGTTTGGGACAGGAGCAATGAGAATAGCTGAGGAACTTATCATAGTCAAAGTAAGAGGACAAGAAGGAACAGATTTTACAGATATTTAAGAGATGGGATCAGCATGATTCAATGGTCAATTAGATGTGGAAGGTGAGGGAGAGGAAACTCCCTTCAGTCTTATAAGGACTTTTTGATTAAAGCGTTCTAATTTTATATAAATCTAGAGGGAAGGAACCCCCCTCCCCTCTAGAACCCTCAGTTTGTTTCTCAGAGTCCACAGTCTCTCATGGTTCGTCTCCCCTCCAATTTCTCCCTCTTCATTTTTCCCTTCCTGCTATCTTCTTCTTTTTTTTTAACATATAATGTATAAGGTTTTTATAAGCTTAAATTCATTCAGCCAAACTACTTATTGAGCACCTACTATATGGCAGATATCTAAGCAAGATGATAATTACAGCAAACAGTTAAATTAAAAAAAAAAAACCCAAATTACAGTAAAGACTATCCCTATTTACATAGCGGTTGTAGGTAGGCAACTGTAGTTTTGTATTTCGGCATGCTGCACCACCCATACACGTCCTCTCCTTTGGGAGAACTGCTTCTTCATTCTCCGCCCATTGCAAAGGTGCATAGTATAGTCTAGTTAGTCATAGAACTTCATTCTGCAGCCCATCATGAGTGACAGGAAAAGTCCTCATTTTTCCAGTATGCATCTAGGAGTAATCTTTGCTT